TTTTGCTTTCTTTAGAAACTGCAGCTTGGCATTGCATGCTATTATTAAGCTTGTGATCTACCAGAACTCCCAGATCCTTCTCCATAATTTATTCCCCCAGTTGTACCCCCCCCAGTATGTATGATGCATGCATATTCATAACTCTGCCCCAAACTACATAACCGATCTTGTCTCTAAATACCACCCAAACCATACTATCCGCTCCTCGCAAGGCCTCCTACTCTGTAGCACCCTTGTCTCCTCCTCCCATGCTCGTCTCCAGGGCTTCTCCTATCCTCTGGAACTCCCTACCCCAATCTATCAGACTATCACCTACTCTGCTCACTTTTAGGCATACTTTGAATACCCATCTCTTCAGGGAAGCCCACCCCAACCCCAGCTAATACTGGAATCCTCTACTCTTCCAACCACTCCATCCCCCACAGCTAATTACCTTTTGTACCACCATCCTCTCCCTCCTAGATTGTAATCTCCAAGGAGCAGGGCCCTCTAATCCATCTTGTATTGAACTGTATTGTTACTGTACTGTCTCCCTCCATAATGTAAAGTGCTGAGCAAACTGTCGGCGCTATAATGTATAATAATAATAATAATAATAATATTCTTAGTCCCCAAGTGCATAACCTTACATTTATCAACATTAAAGTGCATTGAGGTCGGCTTGTAAGGACGTTATTCCACTGCACAGCTTGGTGTCATCTGCGAAGACTGAAATGGGATTATTGTTTATAAATATATTAAAAAGTAAGGGTCCTGACACTGAACCTTGGGGTACACCACTGACAACCCTAGACCATTCAGAGTATGAATCATTAACCACTACTCTCTGAATACCATCTTTTAGCCAGTTTTCCATCCATTTACATATTGATTTTTCCAAACCCACAGACTTTACCTTACACATTAGCCATGTGTGGGGAACTGTGTCAACGCTTTTGCAAAATCCAAGTATACCACGTCCACCGCCACCCCTCTGTCCAAGTATACCACGTCCACCGCCACCCCTCTGTCCAAGGTTTTGCTCACCTCCTCACAAAAAGAAATCAGATTTGTTTGACAACTTCTGTCTTTCATGAATCCATGCTGTCTGTTGCTTAAAATATTTTTTCCCAGCAAGAACTCATCTATGTGGTCTTTTATTAAACTCTCCAGTATCTTCCCAACTATAGAAGTTAAACTAACAGGTCTATAATTACTTGGTAAAGATTTTGACCCTTTTTTAAATATTGGCACCTCATTGGCCTTACACCAACCCAGTGGTTCTATGCCAGTCATTAAAGAGACCCTAAAATGGCTTTGAAATGACAGAGCTCAATTCTTTAAGGACCCATGGGTGTATACCATCCGGTCCAGGTGCCTTATTCACCTTTTTTCTGTCTAAATATTTTTGGATCATATCAGTTGTGAACCAATGTGGATCATCTGGAGCTGTGTCAATACCATGCCCAATGGTTTACTTTCAAACACTAAGGGTTTTTGAAACCTACTGTTCTGTTTTTTTTGTTTTGTTTTTTTAGTCTGATGCTCTAATGGCTGTTTTGTAACTTGCCTATCGAATTTACTATTTTTTTTTATTATTGAATGCCCAAACGTTACATAACCGCTTCCTAATTATTCCTGTCTAATGCATGTGGGCACAGCCACTTGTAGTCGCAGGCAGGAGTACATGGTGCAGGTTAACAACACACACAAGCAAAAATTCAGAGACAGCTGTCACCCCATAAGAGGAAGAGACTGAACAAGAACCTCCATGGCAGGATCACCAGGTAAAACTGCAGATTTAAAAAGAACAAAAACCGCTTTGGAAATGTAATTAGGAAGTGAAGATTTATATTAGATTTTTACATTTAGATCTCTTGAGTCCAAACTCACTTATTACTTATGCGAGTATATGAGGGGGTGCATAGAAAAATGAATAACACTGATAGAGAAGTATAATACGTAAACTATTTAAACAGTGCACCTTGTGATTACTAGCAAGTGATACTGAATTTGCTGAAAATGCAGCAAGATATTTCTTAGCAGCATTTTGCAAGTGTGATGTACAAAACATACAGCCATTCTGTGGATATCTAGAATCCCAGTCCTCAATACAGGAGGCTGACCTAAAAGAACCTAGCCTTCGTCTGTCAGCAAAGTGGTCTCTGTGGTGCCTGTAGGCACAAACCTGCCCTAGATAACTGGTGCATTGCAGCTTGACTACCAATTAGGTATAAAGTGTGACAAGGATTAAAGGCTGACAATCAACTGCTCTCAAATGATTTAGCAGACAAGTTCAAAATGGATCTAGAAAGAATAGGATAGGTCTACCTTCAAGTCCACACATCAAAAAGACATGTTTACAACTTTGTTTTTTACTTGTCTCCTGGATTACTGTTTAGATGTGAACAAGAGTGAATATAAATCACTAAGACCTATAGATACAGAGCCTTTGTTGCCCAAAAGCAGTACCCCTCCACTAGAATCATCATTTATACACAGAGAGATGTATTATTCATCCTGCAAAACTACATGGACAGTCATTTTGCACAAATGCTGGCAAGATCAAATGTTACTAGGTTAGTTGCTGTTCTGTACTCATTAGAATAGCATGAATCAGGAAAATACCGCATTATGGCCACCAGAAGGAGCTGATGATCGTAGTAAATAAGTATTTATTTCCTACTATCTATAAAAAAAAATTTGTGCTTAGTGAAACAAAAACCAATAAGAGTGCTGCTCCCAAAAAAGTCAAATAATAACCTTATAGCAATCTAAACATCCACTTGGTGCGCTTCTCTACATTTATAACAATACAATATACACTGACAGTCAGACACGCCGCCATTGTTATGGCTATCTCTACCGTTCTACCAAGCTTTACATTTATGCTATGTTTGTGGGTATGGTTTTATCCCTTTTTACCTTTAATAAACCTTGGATAATGCACTAGGGGTGTGCGCCTCCTGTCTGCTCTCTTCTCTCTTCTTTTAATACAATATACACTGTTGAACCCTCCTAATACAAAAAAGGCTAACAAACCACAACTTTATAAAAAATAAGTGCAATCTGCCATTAGAAAAGCGAAAACCAGACATATGAAAAGTGAAAAAGTGCTCAATCCAACATATATTCTCCAAGATTCAACCAAATCTTGAAAGGTGGTGAGCAAACGTGATTCTTCCACCAAATAAATGATCAACCACCAGTGTCAGCATGTATATGACATCATTGGCTAGGCCCCGCCCAACATGTTTCACTACCAATCAGCATTGTCAGGGGAATAGAGCATTCAGGAGTCATCCATTCCCAGGGGCGGACTGACCATTTGGAAACTCGGGCACTGCCCGAGGGCCCGGGGTCGGTAGGGAGCCCCATGAGATGCCCCTTTTTCATAGGCTTTTTTGAGTTTGGGCAAGGACACAGGGGCCCCACAATCCCCTATTGCCCAGGGGCCCCATGAGTTGTCAGTCCGCCCCTGCCTAGGTGCAGGCTTACAATCTCATTTTATCTATGGAGCACCTTGGTATCTAATGGGGTACCTTTAAAAGTTAAAGCCCAACTCCAAGCATGATCATTTTACTAGATTTAGAAGCGTTCGCATGTCTTCACATCAGGTGTAAACTAATTTCTTGCAGCCTTAGTACTGCTCAGGCTGTACATCTGGCTTGCTACAGCCATGATAGCTGCAGGTCTCAAAGACACCATTCATAGGCCATTCATAAAATATACGGCCACAGGTACTCACTCAGCCTCTCTGCTTGACAACAGTTGAGGTAAGATATAAGCCACATAGGGAGTGCCTTGTTTTTAGTGACTCAAAAACATTCATTATGAAATGCACCTGCACCTAGGCATTCCTGTAAGCTCAGCTTAAAGTGTTACTAAACCGACCCTGCATTCACTATATCTGGTCTCCCACAGTACAAGCAACATGGAAATGCAATTATTTTAGTAAATATAAACTGCTAAATACCTTTTCTCATTAGCAGTTAAAGCAGTCTTGTGACTTCAGCTGAGCACTGGTTAAAGCTTGTAGGAGGAGTTTTCTTTCTGCTCTAAGAGGATGTAAAACCCCTGACCCTCTGTCTGGACAGTGCTGATTGGCCCTGTGCTGATCACATGCACTCTCCCAAGAAAAAGAAAAAAAAACTTCTTCAGCAATAAACACCAAACTGAGCATGTGCATGTGACTACAGGTTCAGTCTGTATCAGGTGGTCATTTCAACAAGAGGAGGGACAGAGAAGAAAGGATCAAGCAGCTTTTTTATACAATGCAGATGATTAACCCCTTAGGTTCCACAGTGAGTATAACAAGCATGATTTACTGCATATACTGACTGATTTTACAGTTGTGGGATTAATAACCCTTTAAAGTGTATCTGAATCTATTTTTTTTATTTTTTTTATTTCTAGACAGAGAAGGCAACAGCTAGAGCCTCTGTTTTTATAGTTTTGGCTTTGAATACACACTAAAGTAGAACTCCAGGAAGATATAAAATACACAAATGATTGCAGTTCTGTATATATATGCTCAAAAAAATTAAAGGAACACTTTTTAATCAGAGTATAGCATCAAATCAATGAAATTCCTTGGATATTGATCTGGTCAGTTAAGTTGCAGAGGGGGTTATTAATCAGTTTCAGCTGCTTTAGTGTTAATGAAATTATCAACATGTGTAGTGTGTCTGCAGTCTCTCTGATCATCTCCTGTAGTGTGTCTGCAGTCTCTGGCCATCTCCTGTAATCTGTCTGCAGTCTGTGACCATCTCCTGTAGTATGTCTGCAGTCTCTGATCATCTTCTGTAATCTGTCTTCAGTCTCTGGCCATCTCCTGTAATCTGACTGCAGTCTCTAACCATCTCCTGTAGTATGTCTGCAGTCTCTCTGACCATCTCCTGTAGTATGTCTCCAGTCTCTCTGACCATTTCCTGTAGTCTGTCTGCGGTCTTTGACCATCTCCTGTAGTGTGTCTGCAGTCTCTCTGACCATTTCCTGTAGTGTGTCTGCAGGCTCTCTGACCATTTCCTGTAGTCTGTCTGCGGTCTTTGACCATCTCCTGTATTGTGTCTGCAGTCTCTCTGACCATTTCCTGTAGTCTGTCTGCGGTCTCTGACCATCTCCTGTATTGTGTCTGCAGTCTCTCTGACCATCTCCTGTAGTGTGTCTGCAGGCTCTCTGACCATTTCCTGTAGTCTGTCTGCGGTCTCTGACCATCTCCTGTAGTGTGTCTGCGGTCTCTGACCATCTCCTGTAGTCTGTCTGCGGTCTCTGACCATCTCCTGTAGTGTGTCTGCAGTCTCTCTGACCATCTCCTGTAGTGTGTCTGCAGGCTCTCTGACCATTTCCTGTAGTCTGTCTGCAGTCTCTGACCATCTCCTGTAGTGTGTCTTCAGTCTCTCTGACCATCTCCTGTAGTGTGTCTGCAGGCTCTCTGATCATCTCCTGTAATATGTCTCCAGTCTCTCTGACCATCTCCTGTAGTCTGTCTGCAGTCTCTGACCATCTCTTATAGTATGTCTGCAGTCTCTGACCATCTCCTGTAGTGTGTCTGCAGTATCTCTGACCATCTCCTGTAGTCTGTCTGCAGTCTCTGGCCATCTCTTATAGTATGTCTACCGTTTCTGACCATCTCCTGTAGTGTGTCTCCAGTCTCTCTGACCATTTCCTGTAGTATGTCTACAGTTTCTGACCTTCTCCTGTAGTGTGTCTGCAGTCTCTCTGACCATCTATTGTAGTATTTCTGCATTCCCTCGCCACCTCCTGTAATGTGTCTGCAGTCTCTCTGACCATCTCCTGTTCTGTCTGCAGTCTTTGACCATCTCCTATAGCAGTGATGGCGAACCTTTTTGAGCCCGAGTGCCCAAACTGCAACCCAAAACCAACTTATTTCTTTCAAAGTGCCAACACTGCAATGAAACCTGAATATCGAGCTTTTGGTTTAGAAAAAACAACTCGTACAGTAGTGCAAACTAATTAACAGTACAGGGATGACCAGAGACTGCGGACACAGTACAGGGATGACCAGAGACTGCGGACACAGTACAGGGATGACCAGAGACTGCGGACACAGTACAGGGATGACCAGAGACTGCGGACAGTACAGGGATGACCAGAGACTGCGGACACAGTACAGGAGATGACCAGAGACTGCGGACAGTACAGGGATGACCAGAACTGCGGACAGTACAGGGATGACCAGAGACTGCGGACACAGTACAGGGATGACCAGAGACTGCGGACAGTACAGGGATGACCAGAACTGCAGACAGTACAGGGATGACCAGAGACTGCGGACACAGTACAGGGATGACCAGAGACTGCGGACACAGTACAGGGATGACCAGAGACTGCGGACACAGTACAGGGATGACCAGAGACTGCGGACACAGTACAGGGATGACCAGAGACTGCGGACACAGTACAGGGATGACCAGAGACTGCGGACAGTACAGGGATGACCAGAGACTGCGGACAGTACAGGGATGACCAGAGACTGCGGACAGTACAGGGATGACCAGAGACTGCGGACAGTACAGGGATGACCAGAGACTGCGGACACAGTACAGGGATGACCAGAGACTGCAGACACAGTACAGGAGATGACCAGAGACTGCGGACAGTACAGAGATGACCAGAGACTGCGGACACAGTACAGGAGATGACCAGAGACTGCGGACACAGTACAGGGATGACCAGAGACTGCGGACAGTACAGGGATGACCAGAGACTGCGGACAGTACAGGAGATGACCAGAGACTGCGGACAGTACAGAGATGACCAGAGACTGCGGACAGCACAGGGATGACCAGAGACTGCGGACAGCACAGGGATGACCAGAGACTGCGGACAGCACAGGGATGACCAGAGACTGCGGACAGCACAGGGATGACCAGAGACTGCGGACAGCACAGGGATGACCAGAGACTGCGGACAGCACAGGAGATGACCAGAGACTGCGAACAGTACAGGAGATGACCAGAGACTGCGGACAGTACAGGAGATGACCAGAGACTGCGGACACAGTACAGGGATGACCAGAGACTGCGGACACAGTACAGGGATGACCAGAGACTGCGGACAGTACAGGGATGACCAGAGACTGCGGACACAGTACAGGAGATGACCAGAGACTGGGGACACAGTACAGGGATGACCAGAGACTGCGGACAGTACAGGGATGACCAGAGACTGCGGACAGTACAGGAGATGACCAGAGACTGCGGACAGTACAGGGATGACCAGAGACTGCGGACAGCACAGGGATGACCAGAGACTGCGGACAGCACAGGGATGACCAGAGACTGCGGACAGCACAGGGATGACCAGAGACTGCGGACAGCACAGGGATGACCAGAGACTGCGGACAGCACAGGGATGACCAGAGACTGCGGACAGCACAGGAGATGACCAGAGACTGCGAACAGCACAGGAGATGACCAGAGACTGCGGACAGTACAGGAGATGACCAGAGACTGCGGACACAGTACAGGGATGACCAGAGACTGCGGACACAGTACAGGGATGACCAGAGACTGCGGACAGTACAGGGATGACCAGAGACTGCGGACACAGTACAGGAGATGACCAGAGACTGGGGACACAGTACAGGGATGACCAGAGACTGCGGACAGCACAGGGATGACCAGAGACTGCGGACAGTACAGGGATGACCAGAGACTGCGGACATCACAGGGATGACCAAGGACTGCGGACAGCACAGGGATGACCAGAGACTGCGGACAGCACAGGGATGACCAGAGACTGCGGACAGCACAGGGATGACCAGAGACTGCGGACAGCACAGGGATGACCAGAGACTGCGGACAGCACAGGGATGACCAGAGACTGCGGACAGCACAGGGATGACCAGAGACTGCGGACAGCACAGGGATGACCAGAGACTGCGGACAGCACAGGGATGACCAGAGACTGCGGACAGTACAGAGATGACCAGAGACTGCGGACCTTTGGGGAGGGAGGGGGAGCGGGTACCTGAATTTGACAGGTACCCGCTCTTACTTCCGCAGAGTTTTTTTTTTTTTATCTTACCTGTTCCTCGATCCAGCCGCGCGCTGTCTTTCCGGCTTCTGTAGTGTGGGCGCTCGTCGGACAGCCGGATGCCCAGTGCGCATGCGCGAGAAGCGCTGCGCTTTGTGATTGGTCCGGCGGCTTCTGGGATCTGTCATGTGTCCCAGGTACCGCCTTACCATTCACAAACAGCACTGCTTCTTGTGCATGCGCACTTGGGACCCGGCTGTCACGCACACTACAGCCGGGAAGACAGCGCGCCGCTGGATTCTCCTGGCGTGCCCACAGATAAGGCTCGGCGTGCCGGCTGTGGCACGCGTGCCACGGGTTCGCCATCACTGTCCTATAGTATGTCCACAGTCTCTCTGACTATCTCCTGCAGTCTCTGACCATATCCTGCAGTATTTCTGCAGTCTCTGACCATATTTTGTATATGTGTAATATAGGCTGTGTGTGAGTGATGTGAGTTGTATATGTGTAATATAGGCTCCGTGTGAGTGACTTTACACACACAAAAAAAAATATTCACACATATACTAACATTACATAAAGAGAAAAAACAATCACACACATACTGACAAACCATACATAGAAAATAATAATCAAACATTTACTGACAAAACATACATAGAAAAAAAATCATACATATACTGACAAAACATGCATAGAGAAAAAAAAATCACAGGTATACGGACAAACCTAGGTACCTGATCTCTCCTCCCCAAACTATTAGCAGGAGGAGGGAGGGAGGAGGACATAAAGCAGAACTCCCACTTTACCACTCTAGGTTTGTTCTGCTGTCTCTTTAAGGGAAGTCTGTTGTGTTTTCTTGTTCCAGATGATGGAAAACCCTTAGGCCCCTTTCACACAGGAGAGCGCCACTCCATTCAGCAGGGCATCCATGAGCAGATTTCCTGCTGAATCTGAAAAGAACAGGATGGATGTCAGCCTATGATGATTTACATCAGGCTACCACCGATCTGTCACATTTAGGCCTGGAAAATGGAAAAGAATGCAGTCCTTTTCTGTTCTTTTTTCCAGACCTGGATGGACTTGGAGGTAGTGTCCTTTTATGTTTGTTCATTTTCCACCTGCCCTTAGACCTACATGGTGTTATCAGGTCTGCCTAAAAAACTGTTAGATAAATCTCTTCAGAAGGCCCATATGCTACTTGCATATGTAAGCTGTGTACTGGGGTGGGCTCCCAGGATACAGTGAAGTCACGAATGAGGAAAGCAACCTCAACACCAGCTTTTGCCACAACAGAATTTTATTTAGATGTGGCAAATAAACACAATGACAAATGCTGGAAACATACAATACATTTACATACACCCAGCCCAAAGGCTGAGACCCTTGTGCTGCACAGCACGGCGCCTTCTGATGAATGAAGGTAGAAAGTGAAATAATGTACCTACTGGCGGGCACAACTAAGCTGCCACACCTTACCTGTTATTACCCTAAAAGAGCAGGAATCAGTGTATGGGTGTACGGTATGGGCTAGCCTGCGGTGCAGCACAACAGCTTACACTCTTACACAAATCTACAGTATTCCCTCTCCCATAACTGGTCCTGTAGCACGTGCCTGAGTATTCCCACTGAGCAAAACGCCAGTCTGGCTTGAGTTTGTAGGATTTTATCAGCTCTCCAATGTGAAATGTCACTTTAAGTTGTGGAGTCCTTCCAATAATCAGTAACAACACTTGTTGCCTGACACAGAGACCCTAACTAACTATAGGGCTGGTCGCAGTCTATAGGCGCCAACACTGAAATGAGGTGCGTGCACAATCTTACCAACCCAGGTCTGCTTTTCATCCGCTAGTGACTCTGAACAGAACAAATGTCTCTCCAACAGGCCTGTGATATTGCACTGTATGCTGCGTTGTTCCTCTGCTCTCATCAGCTTCCTGGCAGAAATTTCATCAGCTTCATGGCAGCAATCTCATCAGCTTCACACAGCCCCTTCATTCAGCATTCTCCAGAACATGGCTCCTGCATTCAGCATCATCCAAAACATGGCTGCAGTCTCCTCTTCCTGTTCACTAAAAACCCCACCTCTTCATGAATATACAAATATCTATGCAGGCTGAGCCTGTGTTAGAAAAACAGTGACATCTTGTGGCTAAACCGCAGAATGTCAGTCAAAACATCAATTTTTACTCCACACCATAATTTACTGCACACAAACAGTGTTCAAACAATGAGAGCTGTTTTCCCATCTCACACATACAGCCTTGGTGATCCTGCATGAAAGGTAAGCTGGACCCTACATCTTTGCCTCTTTTGCTCGTTGTGCGATACTAAACCTCTCAAAACATAAAAAAGTAACAGTCACACAATCCTTT